CTGATTTCCATTATGGACACAGATTTTCTCCTATATACATTCCCTTGGATATTTCCATGGAAAACCTCTAAATTTCTTTATCTCCTCTACCAAAATGCAAGCCAGCATGACCTTCCATTCCTATTCTCCATCACTCCCATTTATCCTCTTTGGTTTTGCAAGCAATTGACCCATATAATGTATTCATTGTGGCCTTGCCTCACAGCCCAGCACCATACTGTCCAAGTGAAATGCCCTTTCCCTCATTCCCCCCATTGAAAATGCTTATCAACCTTCCATGGGCAGCTCAAATGCCAACTGGCCCTTAAAGCACTCCTTCACCCCATTCCATGTCCTCTCCTTCCTCAGACATCCCATAGGAACCTCTACTCCCCGGTGGCCTGCTCTCAGTCAGGATCCCAGCACCAAACAGATGGTGCATCCCAGCGAGGATAATCCAGGGAGAGTTTATGCACAAAGGGGTAGACTACAAAGTAATAAGTGTCTGTTGTCTAAACCTAACAGAAAGAGAGAAGAAGTCCCCAGGCCTGGAAGGAGAGAATCCTGCATTGCTTTAAGAATGGCAGAGACTTTTGGTCCATGGAGCAACTACCCCAAGGCCACCTCAGAGGGAGAGAGACTCAGCAGATGAAATACTCTCACCTCAGCCCCTCTCTTCGTCCCTCCAGGCTCTTGCCAGGGTTCCCCTTTGTCATAAACTAACCAGAGGGCACGTGGCCCAGGACCCCTTGATATAATCACGCACATCAGCCACCTGGGGCTGAGAACAGGGAAGAGAAAGGCAAGGAGTGAGTGCTCACGGGCAAAGGAAGGTATCAGCTACAGACTCTGCCACTTGCATTGTTGCATTGCTCATGGTAATCATTTGCACCTTCACTTTCCCTCCAGCTTTTGAGGGTGGACAATATGGCTCTGCATTTCAGTACCCCGGTGTCTAGCATGGCAGTGGGTGTGCAGCCTGAGTTCAGTGAAGTTGTGTTGAGTGAGGAAGCAGTCATGATATGCCTTCCTCATTTCTTTTGTTATTCTAGCAGTGGAAAAGGGTGGCCTGAGTCATCTTAACTCCATTCCTGTGGGACTGTGAATTCTGTGGGATTGGGGGCTTGGGGGATTCTGTTGGGGCCATGGACAGATTCTTTGCAACATGTATGCCTGGCCCTTTGGATGTGAAACCCTGCAGCTGGCGTCAGCTGTGTTGCATTCCGAATGGGCGAGCCAACCCAGGCTCCAGCATCCGTACCAGGCACAGGGAGCACCAGCAACCAGCCACTGCCTTGTGTTGCTCTTGTATTCCTTCATCAATCCATGTGTTCATTCATTTGTTAAGCACTCATTCAGCAGCTACTACATACGGCAAGGGTGCCAAACCCATATGGCGTCATGGGAAACCATTCCCCACTCTTCTGGTAACAAGCCTTACACATAATCCAGGCCTAATTTTGCTCATCAGAAGGTGAGAGAATGGGAACAGGAAGGAAAGGGACGGGCCTGAGGGAGCACAGCTAATAAGCAGCAAAGCACAGCTTAAGAGCTGAATACACGCTAGCACACTGCCCGGACACACATCTCAGGGCCCCTGGAATAAAGGTGACTGTGTTCACATCAGAGTGAATGTGTTAATGAGAAGAAAGAGGGCCTGACACAGCAACTCATCATTCTAATCAAAGGACATTGGGAGGCTGAGGTGGAAGGATCTCTTGAGCCCAGGAGTTCAAGACCAGCCTGGGCAACATAGCAAGATCCTTGTCTCTACAAAAAACTCCAAAAATTAGCTGAGCATAGTGGCATGTGCCTCATAGTCCCAGTTACTCAGGAGGCTTAGGCAGGAGGATCACTTGATCCAGGGAGGTTGAAGCTGCAGTGAGCCATGACAGCCTGCCACCTGGGATGATCATATAATTTGTTGTGTCAACTGGATGATTTTGCAGATGGAGAGGTGTGTGGTTATACCACGAAAACAAGCATTTACCTTGACTGACCCAGACCGGACAATGTGGATGGCCATCCTACCTGAAGGGTCAGTCATACATGTTGCAAAGAATCTGTCCATGGCCCCACCAGAATCACACAATCAATGGGAACACCAAGAGGGAAGTTAAGATGACTCAGGCCACCCTTTTCCACCTCTAAAATAGCACACACAGAGAAAGGTCATATCATGACCGCTCCGTCACTCAACACAACCTCACGGAGCCCAGGCAGCACACCCACCACCATGTTAGGCAGTGAGTACAGACACTTCAGCCTGGGTGACAAAGTGAGACACTGTCTCTAAAAAAATAACTAAATAAAAGAGAGAGAGGAAAGAAACCTTCCATTCTGGTGTTCGTGCATGGCCCCTGTAAGACTGGATAAGGTCCTTGGCTTTTCTCAGTTTCATGATAGGACCACATCACATGAGCTTGTGGCAGTGCAAATACGTGGTCAGGGGTGTGGGGCATCCAAGCAGGGGAAAGGGAGCATTCCTGTGGCCAACCCACCCACACAGTCTCCAACCAACTGCATCCCAGCTTGGAAACCTGACTTTGGAAACACAACATGTGAGTCTGTGATTTTGATTAGAATGACATGGATATGAGACAGCTACATTTTTTCCCAAGGAAAAAAAAAAAAGGAAAAAAAAACTCTCTCCAAACAAAGGGTGAAAGAGAATCATTGTTTACTTATGCTCTATTCTTCTTAATTTCTGATATCCTTTTAGACAACTGCCAAGTCCAAGCAGAAACAGCTCTTCTGATGTAATAAATGCAGACTTTGATCTGACACTCACCAAAGCCATTCTGAAGAATTTCAGAGCAGAACATCTTAAGCAACAAGTCATAAAATAGATGTGAGCCTTGATTTTATTTTTTTTAATTTACCAATAAACTAGGTCTCAAGAGTTAAAATGAGCTTTTTTTCCCCAGAAGTAAACACTTGTTGTATACACTTTAAGCGACATTTTTTATAACATTCCTTTTTTTTCTTAGGATGAGCATAGAATTCATACCTAGGAGCAAACACGTCACTGTTACTGTCCTTTGAACATGTGCTGATCACGGCCTTGGGTGCACACAGATAACCCTGAAACAGACTCTTTGATCTTGCTTCTCCCAGTTTGTAATTTAATTTTTTTTTTTTTTGAGATGAAGTTTCACTCCTGTTGCCCAGGCTGGAGTGCAGTGGCGCGATCTCAGCTCACTGCAACCTCCGCCTCCGGGGTTCAAGCGATTCTCTTGCCTCAGCCTCCTGAGTAGCTGGGATCACAGGCATGCACCACCACGCCCGGCTAATTTTGTATTTTTAGTAGAGATGGGGTTTCTCCATGTTGTCAGGCTGGTCTCAAACTCCCAACCTCAAGTGATCCGCCCACCTTGGCCTCCCAAAGTGCTGGGATTACAGACTTGAGCCACTGCTCCCGGACCCCAATCTGTAGCTTTAAGTGGGGTTTCCAAGTCACCTGGGGCAATGCCTAAAATGCCTACCACTTGGGGTGCATATAATTTATTGTGCCAACCAGGCCACTTTGCAGATGGAGAGGGGTGTTATTATGCCAGGAAAACAAGCGTTTACCTTGACTGGCCCAGACCAGTCAGCATGTCCCGCCATCCCACCTGAAAAAAAGATGGATACATCAGCAGTGCGTGTATTTCCACCAAGCTGGTAGAGACCTCTTTATTCAGGGCAATGATACAGGAAAAAGGGCAGGGAGAGTTGTTGTGTGTGGGCCAGCAGTAGCCTCAGGTCCCCCCCTACTCCAGGAAAAGCAGAGCAATTGCAGAGTCCCGGAGACTGTGCCTAGGACCCGCACATGTGGGAAGACCTACCCATATTCCCTGGCATTCATCACTCGGTCAGTTTCCCTAAACACTGATCCAAAACCCACTCTTGCAACAATATTTATGAGCATACTTTCTCTGTCTCTTGCTTTTTGACATCAATTAAATGAAGTATTGGCTGCAACTAGTTTTTCCAGAAGTTTCTATGCCAGCGAATGATCTGAGTAAAGAGATGACTGGATAACTCTTCACCAGCTGAGAAAATGCCAGCTTACCATATGGGCCACATTCCTGGGGCCCTTGGCTAGGAAAGCCTGGCTCCATTTTGCACACCTCCCATTGGTTCTCAGTGCCTACAATGCTCAAATATGTGCAAATAGTAACACTGTTATTCACATCGTAATGGATACTAACAATAGTAGCTATTATGCATGAAGCACCCATGCTGGGCCAAGCATTGTACCAAGCACTAACTTATAACACTCTCATATCCTGATAGTGAAGATACATCAATCTCCAGCCTGCAGAGAAGGACACTGAGGTTCAGAGAGGCTAACTGTCTTGCTCAGTGTCACACAGCACACACCTAGGCAGTGCTGGTGTCGACTTCCCCCAGAATCTGCCAAAAGGTGAGAAATTCCAAGTCATTTTTTTTCTTTTTTTTTTTTTTTTTTTTTTGTTTGAGACAGAGTCTCACTCTGTTGCCCAGGCTGGAGTGCAGTGGCCAGATCTCAGCTCACTGCAAGCTCCGCCTCCCGGGTTTATGCCATTCTCCTGCCTCAGCCTCCCGAGTAGCTGGGACTACAGGCGCCCGCCACCGCGCCTGGCTAGTTTTTTGTATTATTTAGTAGAGATGGGGTTTCACCATGTTAGCCAGGATGGTCTCGATCTCCTGACCTCGTGATCCGCCCATCTCGGCCTCCCAAAGTGCCGGGATTACAGGCTTGAGCCACCACGCCCGGCCAAGAAATTCCAAGTCATATATTTGCCTTTAAAAATAAGTTTGCCTCCCAAGTAGCCTTGTAGATCACTGCTATTGGTGACTAGACTTTATGCAGGAGACGAGAAAACAAGTTTATGTCTTTCTCTGTCCCTGAACATTGGGGAGTGAGTTGGTAAAACAGCATGTACCCTAAAGAGTACACCATTTTTATTCTACCGTCAAATGAGTGTGCTCTTTAAAATATCCCATTTATTCACCAACATGGTGCTGGATATGTCAAAATGCAAAACGAAGAAAGATAGCACAGGAACAATATATTTTCAGTGCCTTTTAACTGAAATAATAATGAGAATTGTATCCCCACAACATGCTCCGGCAGGTTTGCAAGATGTAGGTGCTCTTCCTAGATCCTCTGTGGACACTGCATACCTGAGGGCGAGACATACATTCTGATCATCCCTGCTAAGTCCAAAATTGTAAAGGTTTGCCAGGTACCAGCAACTGGGAGGACACCCTGGGTAGAACCTGGGTGACATCCTTAGCAGAATTTTCTGGGTCCCAGCAACTGGGTTAGCAGAATTTTCTGGGTTTCTCTATTTGCTTTCCATTCCTCTTCTCTGAATGAGAGATCCTACCGGGGTGAATGTTTAAGGCTGACGTTTTCCACCCAGTGTGTTCCCGCAGCTTAAAAATGGACATCATGGCTTGAAAGACCAGGGAAAATAAACATAGGGCCGAATTGAGTGACTCCTGGCGTGAGTCAACATGGATGCCCCATCCTCTCATTCTGAGCACAAAGGGTGCTTAAAACTTTAATGAATTGAATTCTATGAGTAAGGGATGTTAATCATTTTAATTACCCAGCAGCTTGAAATCAGATATAACAGTCCAATAATGTATCTTTAAACGAATACCACCCTGCCCTATAAAAAATCCCTTCCAAACCATTCTAATAATTTCTATTTATCTTTTCTGACGTTAACTGTTATCCGGCCCAGCCGGCCAACAGACAGCCTTCCCCTCGCATTTGGTTTAAATGCAATGCCGTCTAGTTTTGCAATATCATTAGCGTCCCCCTGGTGGGCAGAGAGCAAGGCGGTGGCACCGGTCACACTTCACTGCTTTATCTCATATGACAAAGAGCGATGATACGCTTCAATCCAGGCCAGCCCGGCAGAGGGGAAGGTGGCCGCACAGAACTCCCCCTGCTGCCGAGAAACGCCCTCCGTGTGACTTGCTAACAGCATGAAGAGGCAGACAAATAGATTTTCCTCTATATTTATAACCAGCATCATTCTTCCTTTCAGGGCGTTCAGTGCAGGTAGCTGTTTTATATGAAATGAACAATCTTTATAGACGTACCAGAGCCATAACAAGCCTGATTTTCAGCGAAGCTGAGGTATATAACTCTTACCGAATTGTCAGGCTACTTGCTCAACAAATCAAGCCTAACTTATGATGTTTGCAGTGTAATTTTTATTCCTGTTTGACTAGCCAACTACCCAGTGGTAATAGGATGTTAGGAAGGGCAGTGGCGATGTTTGTGCATGCCGTGATTGATAGGCCGACTCGGCATTTTTCATTTATATCTCCAGATTCCAAATCAGTTAAGTTTAGGAAAAATGAAACAAAGTGGCAAGAAAAATGTTTGCAGATTGCAGACCGGCGCTCCCGCCGATCTGAGTTCAGCCCACATCTGCCGGGATTGTCTGGAAACATTAAGATATCTAAATGAAAATCAATACTATATGTGCCAGGCATTTACTACCAGGAACAAGCATCAAGAGACCTGAGCTAATCAGACTTCCAGCTTGTGCCTCAGCCCTAGACTGAACCCCAGGGGTGTCCTAATTGCCCAGACTAATCATAGAAGAGTTAAATTTATAACTAAGAAAGACATCTTGTTTTTCTTACCAGACATCACTGAGGAGCGGAAAGGCTCACCTGTGAAGTGGGTGCCAGATGTACAGTGGGAGCCCCCATTCAAGAGAGGATGGCTTCTCACCTGTCAGGGGAAAGGAAAGACAAATTTACTGTCAGCAGTAAAACCAGTCAGGCTCACTGAAGCCCCGGGTGGGAGAGTGTTCCGTCAGTTCCAACACGCACTGCAGTTCCCCTCATTGAAACTCTCCCCCACTTAACCTCCGCGTTCTGGAACATGAAAGCCCCCTGCACACTTTGATCCATGACCTGGTTTTTATTTTAAGGAAACTGCTCAGAAAAGCAACTGGCATCAGTGACGTTAAAAATATATGTATCTGTTTCTCCCTGAGTTCCACTCCAGGCTTTTTTGTCCCTTGGAGTCTCCAGAGGAGCTAATAATACTTGGCGACATGTATCTCCCTAATATACTGTACAAACAAGTCACAGATATTATTCACACTCCAACAAACTACAAAGTCACACAATAGCAATTGGACGAGCCCACACTATACTGCTGAAAAACCATAATGTATCAGGGGACTGGATTCCTAATATTTGCATTCTAGATGCCAACTGTGAGCATATTTTGTACTATTTTCAACAAATTACACCAAAATATGCAAAATGTTTATAAGGCTCCATCTTCTATTTTTGGCTCCGATATATTTGCAACTTAATAGTCCTTTAGAGATTTGTTTGTCTCCTCGGGAGAAGTAGGAAAGTGGGAAATGGAAAAAGCAGAAAGAGAGAGGGAGAAGAGAAAAGAAACGAAGACACTTTGCTCAGGCAAGTTGAGTTCTGTGAGTTTTTCGTAAAGAGCGGAGCCGCTCTCCCCGGAGACCCTCTTCGACAAGAAATTTAATAACATTATTTACATTCCTTGTGTCCCGAATTTCAGATGTATTTTTAATGCATGTGTCTTGAAACAAAACAACCATTGTCAAATGCTGTATCCTCTTCTCACCAGTTTAAATGGTTTCCTAGACAGCACGATTCTGGGAGCATCTTGATGGTGGTGATCAATGAAAACCTGCGCCTTGCTCTCTGTGGCTTCCCAAGGATGCTCACCCCTTACCACGGAAGGTTTGTCAGCTCTCTTCCCGGGAAGGGTGTCTCTGGTCCTTGTGATGTGAATGATGACAGCCTCTTGCCTTCTGTTCCATCATCATTGCCTCTGCGCTCTCGCAACTGGGGGCAGGCACACATCTGTCTTTCTTGCCTTCAACCCTGCGACACAACCATCTTTGACTGCACCGTGCCTGTGTCGGATTAGGGCTGATCTGTTGAGCAAAATCCAGGATAGGGGAGACTAAAATGCACATGGGTTGAGGAGGGCAGCAGTTTTCCTGATGCCGGATTACACAGCCAAGTTGAAAACTTTTCAATCCAGCTTCTACCACTGGAAAAGGTGTCAGACAAAAAACTAATTTTTTTTTCTAATATTATGCCTAATGAACTTAACCTAGAGATTGGGCCTCATGCCCTTGGTTCCTGGAACAATTTTTCCTAACAAGACTGAAGCTTCGGCCGAATTCATTACTTACTCAGAATGAATAAAGCCAGAGGAAAAGATATTTCATGAACAAATCTGTGTTCTTAGCTGGGCTTCAATGTAAAAAAAAAAAAAAACAAGTGGAAGAGAGTGCCTGGCTTCCCACGTCTTTGTACACACAGTAGGCCCTCAAAATGCATGCGTAGGTTGGATAAGCCAACAATACATGGTGGATGAACTGGGAAGCCACTTGAGTTGGACGTACACTCAAGAATAGGTAAAGAGGCCAGGCATGGTAGCTCATGCCTGTAATCCCAGTGCGTTGGGAGGCCTAGTAGGGGACCAGGCTGGGGGACAGGGGCGGGGGATAGCTTGAACCTAGGAGTTAAAGACCAGCCTGGGCAACATGGCAAAACCCTCTCTCTACAAAAAATTTAAAAATTAGCCAGGCACAGTGGCACATGCCTGTAGTCCCAACTACTGGGGAAGCTGAGGCAGAAGGATCACTTGAGCCCAGGAGGTGGAGGCTGCAGGGAGCTATGACCATACCACTGCACTCCAGCTTGGGCAACAGATAGAGAAAGTGAATCAAAGAAAAAAAAAGAGAGAGAGATATAGAAGCATCATTCAAATGGAGAGACTGAGGCAGAAATGAGCTTCAGAGCACATCAGGCCACAGGCTTTCCTCTAGGAACGCTCCACTGCTCTGCACACCAAGCTGTGAATCTGAGGCAGCCAGACCCTGATTTGCCCCCAGGACAAAGGCCAACAGCTCACGGCTGCCGGGCAGGATGACTCCGAACTCATTCCTCAGCCAAACGGGGCCTCTCAGGAAAGCAGGCTTGACACGGCCAGGTGTGGCTCTCAACTCAGAGGAGCTGAAGCCTTCACTTAGCCCTACGTCCTGCATCCCGGCTCCACAGTCCTCATGGGACCTGCTCCTGTGGCTGGGCTCACATGCACAGGGGTTGTTGTGAAATAGCCTGAGTGGTGAGAAAACTCCTGGGGTCCCGGCTGGAAACACTGTCTGGGGTTGCAGCTTTTCCAGCTGTTTGGATGGCCAGGCTGGGAAGCCTGCTAGAGACCAGGGAGCAAGGCAGGGCCACCCAGACAAAGCAGTCAGTGGAGATCTCCCCCAGGGAGCCCAGGCAATTCACAGCAGAAACAGAGCCGTCTGCTTCCTGAGGGCTTTCCATGTGACAAGCACTATTCCTGGAGTTGTATTTTAACTTGGTCAGTCTTCACAATGGCCCTGGGAGGTGGACCCATTATTAGCCCACAGGGGAGATGAGTAACTTAGCTGCAGTGACAAATTGCTAAGGGACAAAATCAGGGTCTTGCCCCTGCAGTCAGGTGTGGAGTACATGCATTTTGCAGAAGGAGGTCTTGGCGTGGGGTGGGGGTGGAGGGCCTCAGAACAAAAGCCCTGCATAAGGGGGTAAGATGGCAGGGAGTGGACCCAAGGTAGAAATCAGATCATATTTATACGATTCATAAGATAAATAATAATACTACCACAAAGCCACACCCAACAAAAAGCTTTAATATGGAGGCCAAGCCAGAGCTGAGCTTCCTTAAGTGAGATCCATAGAAGAAGGAAGCTCAAAGAGAAATGCAATTGAAATGATTGTAAGATAAATACTTGGGGGCATTCAGCAGTGTGACTCACTTGGGCTTTATCCCCCGTTCTGACACTGACTGAAAGGAACAGCAGTCAATTACCAACGGCTTTGGCTTCGCCTCTGGCATTCCAAAACCCTGTGGTCTGACTGTCATCTCACAATCAGAGGACCAGAAAGACAGCCGCTTGCCACTCCCAGAGCCTGCCTGTCCAGCGCCCTGGCCTCCTCTGGGACCACCTGTGCCCCTACGTCACCATCACAGCCCGGCAGAGTGAAACTTCATCGGCAACATTTCCCACAAGACAGAGGCCACATTTGTAAAGTGACTCTTCTTCTGTCTTTTGGCTTTAGAAGAGAAAGGGGCGAGAGAGCAGGGGAAGGACGAGGGGATGTTCACCCTGAGGATTGAGTCAGGAGGAGGACATGGCTTGTTTAATCCTAATAAATCAGAGCAACCCCAGGAGGTGGAAGCAACAGGGGCTGGAGTGCCAGCCGTGCTGCACATTGACCCAAGGCAGAGCTCGTGGAGAAATGATGTCCTCTTAGGCAGACTCCTGGAGAGATGGTCTGCATTTCTCCTGACAAATTAGAAGTGCCGTGAATGCAACCATTCCTCAGAAAATAGGCCTGATTTAGCAATGCACAAGCTGCATTATCTCGCTACATAAAAAGACCATTTAAGCAGGGAAGCCTTTAGGACACTGGCCCTTTGGAGCAGCAGTTCTGAAATATTACCCACCTCGACTGCCACCTAAGCTAGTCACTCCCCAAGGGAAAAGCCTCATTTACAACCTAGAGGACCAAGTGGGCTTTAGTCAGAGGAAAGGGTCATTTTGTCTCTGGTGTCTGCGTGAGATTTCTTGTGCCCCTGTCCTGCTCGAGCCCTCACCTCACCTCCGACGGCCAAGTCAAATGGAGAGCTACTGTATGGGGAACACCGGTTTCATCCTATCCAAGGTGTCTTGCCCTATTCAGGGCAGCCAGAGCCCTAGCCATCCCCATTGAATACCAGAGCAATTACAAAGCAGATCTGGTGACGACAATGCTAAAAAGATGAAATAATTCATTTGCACAAAATGTGCGTGTTTGAAAACTTCGCATGCAAAGATTACAACCTGTCATTATCTTCCCCAGAGACGCACTACCTTCTTAAAAAGTATCTCTAATGAGATCTACAAATCTGTGGAAGACAGCTTACTTTATTGTGTTTGTAAAGATAAAAATGTTTTAAATAGGTTACGGCTCCTGGGACTGACAGTCCCACCATGACGGTAAGGTCATTTTGAAATGTTAATAAAAGTTTTCATAAAATATGACGGCGCTCAAAGAGTAATGTTTGGATGTAAAAATAACTGTAAAAGTATAATTTCTACCAGGGTACACGTGCCGTTTTCCTGTGTCAAGATATTTGCCCAATTTCTCGTTTGACTGGGGTTGCAACTTTTCCAGCTGTTTTGACGGCCACACTGGGATTCGATCCTTATTAGAGAGGTTTGCAGCAGGCTTTCGGAGGCTTAGCCGGTTATATTACAGACTTTCCCTCGAAGCGAAGTCTTGCACTGCCCTGACCATTATGCAAATACGCAAGCATTCAACCTAGGATTGTCTCAGCTTGTAGCAGGCATCTGTCCTCCCACCAAAGGAGCAAGACAAGCAACACTGGTGAAGTCAGCAGGCAGGGGGACCCTGGGGGCGTAGCCTCATAGCTCCCAGTTCCTGGGCTAGTCAGGGGGAACATGCCAAATTGGAAACATTCAGCTGTTTCCTATTCAATGAGCTCCTTCGTGTTTGAAGTTAACCAGCCCAAAGGAAACATCTCAGAAGGATTTTCTAGGTGATGAGATAACTAATGAGACCAATCCATCGTCTCTGTTTGCCAGATCCCATTGGCTCAAATCAACCCCGATATTTCTATTAAGGCACCTGGGACACGTGGGGTCCCCCAGGACCCAAGGTTGGGAACAAAACTCTCTGCAGACACTCAGTGAGGGGAAAGTTAAGACATGCTGGAATCAGGGGTCATGGATTTGGGACAAGAAAGAGATGGCATCATAGTCCCTACCTACGACGTGTACTGGTTGTGGAACCTTCAGCAAGTGATTCCTGTCCTCAGCATTATCCATAATTTTAGGTACTGATGCCTAACACATATAATTGTCATGGACATAAGGGGACATACCTCACCTTCTTTGTCCCCTCCCCACTCTCCTACACACCCCAAGGAACATTCACCTGAGACCCAACAGACTGGCTGTTCTCCTCTCCAGTAACTATAACATGCGACATAAACGTGAGGCCCTAAGCACTTCAGGACTATTATCCACAAAACCTGGCCCTGACAAATCAAAATGCTTTTGACTGTATGAGCCCAGGAGTTTGAGACCAGGCTGAGCAACAGAGGAAGACCTTGTATTTACAATATAAAAATACATAAAAATGAGGTTGGGTGTGGTGGCTCATGCCTGTAATTCCAGCACTTTGGGATACCAACGCAGGCAGATCACTTGAGGTCAGAAGTTCGAGGCCAGCCTGGCCAACATGGTGAAACCCTGTCTCTACTAAATATACAAAAATTATGTATATTAGCCAGGTGTAGTTGGACATGCCTGTAATCCCAGCTACTCAAGAAGCTGAGGCAGGAGAATCGCTTGAATTCAGGAGGCAGAGGTTGTAGTGAGCCAAAATCATGCCACTGCATTCCAGCCTGGGTGACAGAGTGAGACCTTGTCTCAAAAAAACAAAAATACATAAAATATAATTGGGCATGGTGGCACACACCTGTAATCCCAGCTACTTGGGAGGCTAAAGTGAGAGGATCGCTTGAGCCAAGGAGGTCAAGGCTGCAGTGAGCCATGATCACAGCACTGCACTCCAGTCCTGGTGACAGAGTGAGACCTTGTCTCCAAAAAAAAACTTTAGAAAGTATCAGTTCCGCTCTATCAACATTCTCTTGAAGCACGGTAACAGGATGCCACAGCTCCTGAGCTTGAAGGAATTTGGCTGGCAGGGGGTCAGGGAGGGAGGATCATGTAAGAAAACGAGGGATGGAAGCAAGGTTTGGTTAATATCTCAGGTTCGGGAGAATTGTGATAAAATATTCTGAGATGGTCAGAAAGCCCTCTCTGGGGGAGGTGGCATTGAGTAGAGCTGTGAATGGCCGTCTCACATAGAAGAACCCCATCATTCTCTCCTGTTCACCTTCACATGACTCTGCTTTGTTTTTCT